TAATGCTAGGATGGTCCGAGCTGAGATCAATACCACCACCAAATATCCATTAATCTTTCCTAGTTCTTCGGACAATGTCACCAATTATCCAAGCCATATTCTCTCGTGGTCATGTTTAATTAACAAACCAAACTCCTTGATCTTAATGAAGAATCTATGAAAAGTTTACCTCTCCAGACAGCTGTTTATGAGAGGCCCCATTTTCATAATAATCTCTGATACCCACGACAACAATTTGTCTGAGAGTCAATTTGTATGGAAGATATTTGCTCAGAATCTCGGTGACACGACACACATACAGTTTTATGTCATCTCTGAAAAGTTTTGCTACTTTCAATATTAGTGAAGCGAGTTTCCCATTGTGTTAATAAATAACGATTTGTCTTGATAATTGTATTTTGACTCGTGTTGACACACATACAGTTTTATGGTATCTTATTGGACAGGAAGTTTCATTGTGGCTTCTTTTACATTTGTTGAGATCTCTACATTAATCTGTCTGCTGCCATTATTTGATGGAACCACGGTGACTCAGTGAGTAAAATGTTAGCTTGCTAACCTGGAGGTCATGAGTTCGATCCTGGTGTTGGTCGAGTAAGTACACTTGTATTTCCGGCGTGGTTACCCCTTTTCAGTGGTGTAGAAGGGAGGGCCTGGGAAGGGACAACATATAGTTGCTCGGATGGGATGATAAACCAAGTTATCATGTACACATTGACATGCACATAAAAGAACCCTTGACAGTTGGAATTCAGTGTAAGAGTAGGTTGTAGCACTACTGTCCAGGCAAAATTTCCCATATAGCTGAGTGCATTGTGCATACCCGTCTTCATTAGCCCAATAGGAGCAGAAAAGTAGGAGATTAAACCCTATTCCATTTCATTTTGTCATTATTTGATTTCAGATTCTGAACACCGAAGAGTACAGGATTATATTTTATACATTATTAATAATAACGCTATTTATATTACACAACTATTCAATCCCCACTAGGGAATACTGTAGGCGCCAGAAAATTTTCTCATTTTGGAATGACAATTTCATTAGATAACTAAGTTTTCACACAGCTGATGCATTGTATTGAAAAGTTCTAGATCCAAAATGTCTTCAAGTTATGAGTAGGTACATCCAATAACCATTAATCTATCATTTCATGATCTGCGTAGGTTTCATTACAGCTCCACAGTAAATTTATTAAATCCTAAGGGCTCAATTAAGGACATCACTTTGCTCAACAATGCTGGAATTTTATGTTAATACTAAATCAAATCACATCTGGTTCCGTTTCAAACCCCATACTTCAGATTGGGGTTCTAAAACTGAACATGTTAATTATCTTCTGTATATCCTGAAGCGCCATTTCTATTTTGAGTTTAAAACCAGACATGTCCAGCTGTTTACCTGAAGTAGTAGCAGCATTCAACAGTACAAGAAAGTCCTCGGGTATAATCCATAACTCAACGGACAAACTCGCTCAATTTTATATCCAATTTAATAGAAACTCCAAATAAGCTCAATTTTATATCCAATTTAATAGAAACTCCAAATAAGCTCAATTTTATATCCAATTTAATAGAAACTCCAAATAAGCTCAATTTTATATCCAATTTAATAGAAACTCCAAATAAGCTCAATTCTATATCAAATTTAATAGAAACTCTAAATAAGCTCAATTCTATATTCAGTTTAACTGAAACTCCAAATAATCTCAATTCTATAGCAAATTTAATAGAAACTACAAATAAGCTCATTTCTATAATAAATTTAATAGAACTCCAAATAAGCTCAATTCTATATTCAATTTAATAGAAACTCCAAATAAGCTCAATTCTATATTAAAGGAGCTAAATCGCTAACATTTGGGAACTAGAAATTCACAAAAGTGGGTCGCAACGCATATAATACTGTAATATGAATGTATATAAACTGATTTACAGTTATTCTAGTCTACATAACTCCATTTGATTTGGTGCAATGTGTCTAGCCTCGTCCCTCTCAATACAACTGGGGCTGAAGCGCATTATGGTACACGATTCGTGTACCAATGTTAAAAAAATTATTTTATCTTAAATATCGGATATCAGAAGCTCATCTTTTCCCGGTAAGTTTACATCATCAATGTTGATTTAAATTGACCAATAATTCGTGTTTTCGATGTCGAAGATTTTGGAGGATTTTGAAATACGGACTTAGGTCCTTTAAATGTGGGAGCCCAGATGTGATGGAAGCAATCCGAAATAGCGACACTGATGAAGGCTACATCCAAACCGTCAGCATGTCACACCAAGTATCACCAAACATGATGACTTTAACAACTCCCATTCTTAGCCTAGGAGAGTGGGAAAGGAGACAGGGTGAAGACCCATTACTTCGGCAACTCCGCAATGACATCCTGAATGGAAGACCAGCTAGGACAAAAACAGGATCACCAGAAGAAGCTGCATTGTACCGCCATTATGAACACTTCGTTCTTAAGTCTGGTACCCTGTATAGGCGCACAATGGTGGCAGGAGATGAGATTTTACAACTGGTTTTGCCTGAAGCCTACAGACGTTTGGCGATTGTCGGAGTCCATGACGACCTAGGACATCAGGGAAGAGATCGAACTATAGGTTTAGCTCAAGAAACTGTCCTCGGTGTGTGCGTAGGAAGGCTTTACCATCAACCTGTCCTTTGGTCAACATCAAAACCGGTCAACCGATGGAATTGGTCTGCATGGACTACATGTGTGTGGAAGAGGCGAAAGGAGGCTATGATAGTATATTAGTCATCACTGACCATTTCACCAAATATACCCAAGCAGTGCCAGTTAGGAACACCACAGAAAAAACAACTGCACTATGGGATCCCTCAACGGCTACATAGTGATCAAGGCCAGCAGTTCGAGGGAAAAATCATCAAGGAATTGTGCCAGTTGACTGGGATCGAAAAGTCTAGAACAACACCATACCATCCACAAGGGAACGGACAATGTGAACGGTTCAATCGGACTTTGCTGAATATGCTCGGAACTTTGCATCCTGAACAGAAGTCGGACTGGAAATCTTACGTTGCTCCACTCATCCACGCATACAATTGTACAAGACATTCATCAACAGGATATTCACCGTACAAATTGATGTTCGGAAGGAAACCAACCTTAGCTGTTGATGTTATGCTAGGAATTGTGGATAGTACAGAGGCCAAAGGAAACTACAACTCGTATGTTGGATCTCTGAAGGAAAAGCTGGAGCACGCATATCTTACAGCATCAGCTTTTAGGGAGGATACGCAGGAACTTCAGCGGAAAAAATGCAACCTAAGAGCCAGGATAAATGTGTTGGAACCAGGGGATTGTGTTTTAGTGAAACGCCTAGTTTTTCCAGAGGGCAGACACAAGCTAGCAGATAAATGGGAGGATAAGCCATGTAAGATTTTGAGACAGCCAAACAAGGACATACCGGTTTACGAACTACAAGCGATTGGTGGAAATGGTCGGAAAAGGACATTACACAGGAACCATCTTTTACCCATCAGTATGTTACCGGAAATTTCACCAGATGTCAACACTAGAACAAGACCAGTACCACGACCAAGAACTAGACAACCAAAGGTAATACCAGAACCGGAAGAGTCATCCAGTAGTGAAGAAGATGAGGATCAGGTGTACTTAGTGGAGGATGCAACCTACTTGCAACCGGCTAGCACCACTGAGGTACACGATGGGAACGAAGGACAAGCTGAGATCGACACCAGTGTTCAAGATGGTGGAAGCAGGCCTGAACCACCAGACTCAGCTGTTTCTGAAGTGTCAGAGGAAAATTCACAGCCAGATGACCTGGAGCCCAGAAGATCGGGAAGAGAAAGAAAACAACCGCTCCGGTATGAAGATTATGTCATGTCACAGCAACCAGCATCTTCGGTACCTTCTACCCTACAGTTGCGTGTTGAACTGGCAAGATCGCTGTTACCACCAGATTTCATGAGTTTGTCACCAGATAGGTTGCAGGTCGTACTAACTATGTTGCCAGGTTTATGCAAGTCCTTGTTTCCGGATGTATTTTAGTTTAGCTGGTGTTGGAGACGGCCAGGTTATATTGTGATCGGATGTCGAATATGGTTAATGTCGGGGACAACATTTGCATTAGGGGGGAAGTATGTGGGAGAGTGATTTTATTGGGGAATATTTTAAAGTCACCAATACTAAGTTTTAAATGTTAGATAATATGTTCCACTTCACTAGCTTTAGCTATCCTGTGTTTCTATCGACTTTCTATCCACTATCTTAAGTTAGAGTGAGTTTCTTCTCACTTTTGGTATCTTGTCTTGGTTTTAACCTTTGAACCTGAGTATATTGTGGTCAGGTGATTTGGTATCCAGGGAATGTTTGGACACTTAGGTAATAGAGTTTGAGGCAATAGGTTGACTATTTTCAGTTCTCCATATTGCAACTTATTTCTGTATAGTCATAGTTTAATTAGCTAGTTTTAGATATTTCATTTCTAATATAGTTTATATAGAAGTTAGATTAAAGTATTCAATAGTTCCAGTGATTGCCAGGTAGGATACTTCAAAGGTACTTCACCTTTGACAGTCTGTCTAGCCAGCAAAACCCCTCTCTAGGGGTTTCTGTTATATCTGAATAAACCGTTGAATCGAACCCTTGGTGTGGTTTTTTTTACAACTAGAGAATGGACCCCCCGTAACATAAATATAATAGAAACTCAAAATAAGCTCAAATCTACAGTAAATCTAATAGAAACCTCAAATATGCTCTGTAAACAACAAACAACATTGTCAAATCTAACACTGCTACGATCAACGTGGTGAAACCCCAATAATTTTTTTTTTTTTTAAGTAAACCAATATTCTGAATATCTCAACTTGGATTTCAGAAGCTGAAGCTACTTAATCGATACATAAAATGACTAGTCTATGTACTGATTACATAAAATGATTACTGTACTCACCAATTACATCCGCTATATTAATGGATTATATAAAATGACTGTCATACTTACCAATTACATGAGGTCTTTGGGTAGAGGCAAAAGCCCGAGCTATTTTAGGTTGACCATTAACATCCAACGACAGTTGATTTATCATACTGTTAAAAAAGTTATGAAGCTGAAATGGATAAAGGAAAAAAATCATATAATAAATTATCTTATCCTGTCCTGGAATATCTAACAAAATATTTATTTTAGAAATAATAATAGCATGAAATGAGAGGCTTCAAAATTAGCGTCCAACTGAGTCAAATTCATCTGCACAGAAGAAAATAACAATTGAAATGAGATGGGGGTTTAGTGTCCAACTTTTTTTTCCTATATGAGGGAAATTTTGCCCGAGCAGTGGCATCTCGAATCCACGTGCACGGTCAATATGTGCATAGGACATCAGTTTCTGTCTCATCTCAATGACTCAGAACAAAACAAGCTAGCTATATGGTTTACACAAAACTCGTACCATCTAACAAAATTAAAATCTCAGATGAATTATGCAAGATTTAGATAAAGAACTGGTTGTTCTTGCTATATAGTTCAAAATAGATCATGCAGAATTAATATATTGAAAATTGTGTTCAAATTTCTTTATTCTGAGCGAAGATATTAGCCTTTCGAAGTTTGACAAGATGTTTGCATTTTTTGTAACCACCATTCTAGATGTTTGAGGCTTAGCCACATTTTTTTTACCAGTTTTAGATTAAATCATTAAAAGGCTGAACCATTTCAATGTACTTAAAATCGGACCTATCCGATGGCATCCATAGTTGATTATGGTTTTGTCATGTTAATAAATGTCTAATTAATAATTTATATAACATTTAAGGCCTAAAGAAAGACCAGCAAAAGGCAGATTTAGCTCTTGCATAATGTATGTTTAATATTCTAGAAACAGAAAAGAATTACAATCCACGGTAAAAAAATCGTTTCATGGCCTCCAGGCTTGTACACACATGATTACATGCTTAAATGGTTTCATAATTACATGATTACACGAGTTTTACAGAAATACAACATAATATAAAACAAGTTGTCGAACAGATTCAATAAAATTTGACATTTCTTATGTAATCCACATTCAGTAACAATTATTTTTCCATTTCCACATCATCTCAAAATGAAATTAAACTAGGTTTTGCAGAATGGTGACATTATCTACAAATCTCCTGGCAATTTAATAATTAAAATGGTGAATTGCCAACAGTTTGTAGTATTGCTGAGGTTAATACTATTTTCATGCAAGCCAAATAACTCGTAAAATTACTTGTCATGTTAATCAACGTGGGAGGAAAGTCATAGAGAGAAAGCCTGATTAGAGACCCGTGTAAATTACCTTGATTTCCCTAGATGGGATTAACGCTTTCGAGAAATGAGTCGGTAAATTATAGGAAATATAACACTACTTGTATAACCAAGATGTAGCTGTCAGGTTCAAACTAAATGGAGAGAGAGAGAGAGAGAGAGAGAGAGAGTTTAATGTCCACTCGACACCACAAACTAGGTTATTTCGAGACTAACATGGTACAACATTATTTCTTATTTCATCAATTTGCTTGAGGAAAGAGGAGGCTCCGTGATTTAATGTCCACTCAACACCAAAAATTAGGTTATTTTGGGACTAACATTATTTCATCAATTTGCTTGAGGAAAGAGGAGGCTCCAGAGAAAGCCCATGAGGTTGAATGGTAACTCGACTTCTCATCACAAACCAAGTGTGGGAACGAAACCAAACCACTTGACTCCACGACAGAGAGAGAGAAATGTGGTTAAACGTACACTCAACACAAACTAGGTCATTTCGGGACTTATATATGGTTCAATTTTATTTCATTAATTCGCTTGTCCATAGGGGTCTTTAGCTGTGGGAGGAAACCGGAAAACCAGGAGAAAACCCACATGGTTGGACATACAAGCGGGGAATCAAAACCACACCACGTACTTGACTCAACGACAGACCTTATGATGCAACGAGCATGCTTTAACCACTCGGCCACACAACCCCCCTGATTCAATGGCAGACCTTATGATCTAATGCGCACATGTTAGACCATTCAACCCCTCAAAACTAGATAGGGTTTCAAATAAATGTCCCATGTGCCAGAGGGGGTGGGGTGGGATTTGAAGCTACTATACTGATGTCACACAAGTTTTGCTTATAAAACTGTCTCAGTTCTAAAGAATATTTCAATATTTATAAATTAAACTAAAATTTAATTATTATTAAAGCTACAATTTTAAACAATATCCAATTTTTCATAGTTTATATCACTAACATACTCTAATTGATTATCAAACATTTAATTAAACACATATTATGTAAGAGCTAAATCTGTCTATTGCAGGTCTTTCTTTAGGCCTGAAATGTTATCTAAATTATCAATTAGACATCTATTAACAAAACAAGACCATAATCGACACTCGATGGCATCGGATACTCAGGATTTTAACTAGATTAAAACGGTTCACCATTTAAAAATTTAATTTAAAAATGGGAAAGTGAGGCTAAGTCCCAATTACACCAGTGCCCTGGTTACCACTGTGCACACATCTTGTCAAAACTACAAACAATGATAACTTGGCTGAGAATGAAGTAATTTCTTTATTTATCATCTATTTTTGAATTACTATAGCAAGAATGGCCAACTCTTTATTAAACTCTTAACTAATGTATCTTTAATAAAACAAAACCATAAATGTAAATGGTGGAATCTCTAAGCTTGGATTCTTCTGATTTATAAAGAGGACCTTTAAATGATTTGTTTGTGTTGTCTGTAAATGTCAAAGAATTGGACCAAGAAATTCTTTAAAGACCACGTAAGATCAAAAATCTAAATTGCATGTATGTATAGCCCATGGTTACTATATCAATTTTACGGCAAGTTCACACCAATCTGATTAAAATTAAGTCCGCTGTTAACGTTTAAGTATCCGACACGCCAAAAAGCTTTTCCGATTTTTCAATTACGACCTTAATCCGGTTGATTGGCTGGTGACGTCACAGGCACTACACATAGGATATACATTATCTATACAATATCTCACCGTCTGTACAATATACCACTATCAATACACACGGCAACTGGACAAGCGTCTATTGACGGTCCAATTACCACGTGACTGGCCTAATCATAATCACCAAATTATCGTCTTTCATTGGTATAGATTAGACATTTGTGATTGGAATATTTTAGAGTGAATTTAAAATGCCGTAGATCAATTTAATGTTTAAATAGGCCACATGTCAAATGAAGATGACTCAAGAAATCAGCTCATTTAACGGTAATTTGGATAACCCCGTAATACTTGATATCCCAAACTTAAACATGCATTATGCAAGAGCAAAATCTGCTTATTACAAGTCTTTCTTTAGGCCTGAAATGTTATCTAAATTATCAATTAGACATTAATTAACTTATCCAGAACATAATAAACTCTCGATGTCAAGGCTAGCCTTCGATGTAGCCTGGATTAGATTCCTATATGCCGCTAACGGCCAAAGATAATTAAATCAGAAAAAGTGGATAATCGAGACTATGCTGTTTATATTAATGATTTTAGTAATGATAACCGAGACTATGCAAAAATTTCACCGGCTTCTTTCTCGGCTCATAGTGGATCAATTTGACTGAAATTTTCAGCAAATTACCTTTACACTATCTAGTTTTTAACTAATATAGCGAGAACTGCCATCTCTTTATCTTATCTCCCATAATGTATCTTTAAGTACAGAAATACAAATGGTGCCAGTCATTTGTCGATATATTCATTATTAGCTATATATAATAATAATAACCATTTCTATACATAAAGAACAACTACAGTGAATATGGAATTTTCCAATGACTATGCATAACATGTACAATAGATCGCACTCATTTCTCTGCTAATCAACGCTTGGTATTTTATTATCATGTACCGTTCCATGTACTACAGGTGTAGTAAATGAGGTTAAACTTCGCCGCGAAAATTGCACGGGATCATTCGTGGAGTTCCTGGTGCCGTTTGGTGAGTGATTAAACTGTCAATGCAATTGTAAAATACTTTTATTATAAAGAAGATAACCGATGTTAGTCATTATAACCTAATCGTATCAAAAACGTTAATCCATCCATCAATTAAATGTTGTTTAAACGCCAATCAACAAATAATACGAGGCTACTTGATTACAAAAACACCGGTGAGCAATAATTATTGGGTATATAGTAATTTTAAACAACTTATTAGTAAAACTTAATTATTTTATACAATTAATGTGTGTGTGTATGATTCTACCATTAGTTTGTTCGTGAGGTATTACGCACACGTTCCACTAAGAGTGATGTCTTTGATCTGGCCGGTGTAAAAAACGATAATTACCTAATCATCATTCTTAATCCCACTAACACTCACTGCTAACACCAACGTGTAAATTAATTTATGACCCATGCCTGTATAACTTTTATAGTCGGATTGATTAATTAATGACAGATATTAACGACACTACACTTTATGTGGAAAAGCGAAGTGCTCGCAGTAAAAACAACATAGCTGGACCCGTATATTATTTACATATTAAAAGTGTTCGTCCAATAAGTTCCATATTGTAAAAAATTAATTAAGAGTTCAAGACTTCAAAGTTTAAAAGTTGTAGGCACTCTAAATTGGATCTTGAATTAAAATGAATTACAAAACAAATTATTCCGTAGTCAATTGTTTTATTTAATTAGGGGGGTTACGGAATCCTTTGGGCGTTAAAGAATACACACGCCGGCTGTATATAGGTAATTAAGGAATAAACATTCCGAATATGCATTCAGTCACTGTGACGTCACTGGCGCCTGAGGGGATTAAGAGTGTTTTCGATAATTGGCAAAGTCGTTTTTAAGGAAGGTCTATTTTTACGACTTTGAGTGAAGATAACTGAATTAATTTCAACCAGATTGGCGTGAACTTGCCGTAAAGTGGATATAGTAACCATTGGCTACACGTATCCCAAAGTTTCCAGGCCCATCTTATGTGCACTTTAAATTTCTCATAGACTTCCAACATCTTTCATGGGACACGGAACAATTTCTTATTTCAGACCAATCAATGTCAAGTTTCTGAGTATACCTCTCAGAC